TGGTTTGCCGACACAGGAGCATCACATCACATGTCACCGAGACGCGAATTATTCCGAAATTTCGTTGCGATCAACGATAATTCAGTTCCGATCACAGTGGGCAATGAAGAAATAGTTTACGCAAGAGGCAGAGGCATGATTGATGCAGATTTCGATTTAGGAGGTTATACGAAGCGACAAACACTTGCGGAAGTTTTGTACGTGCTAGACTTTGGCAAAAATCTGTTCGGCATCGGCTCATCGACGGATCGTGGTGCAATTGCAATGTTTAATAAATACAATATGACATTAACAAAAAATGGTTGTGTTGTTCTTAGGGGTTATCGTCCAGGAAGCGGCCTTTATCGCATTAAAATGAAGGCAATACCGTGTTTCGAGGCAAATGTCGCAAGCAACGCAGTACCTGTCAGAGTATGGCATGAGAGGTTCGGTCACACAAGTTTCCGAACAGTACGTGAGTTAATACGCAATGAGGCCGTCACAGGAATCGAGGTAGCTGATTATGAAACACAGACCGACGAAATCCAGCAAATATGCGAAGGTTGCGTACTAGAAAAAATGGCACGTAAGTCTTTCAAAGATTCAACAAATAGAGCGAAAGCGCCTGGTGAGTTATTTCATTTTGACATATGTGGACCTATGTCAATCGATGCACTAGATGGCTCGAAACTGATGGCACTTTTCGTAGATGATTACAGTGGAGTAGTCGTGGCTTTCCCAATACGCAACAAGTCAGAAATTATCCAGAAAATAGAAGAGGTTATCGCACTAACGGAGTCCAGCGGGCACAAGATACGTCGACTGCGATCCGACAACGCAAAAGAGTTCATATCGGAAGCTTTTCAGAAAGTATGTCGCCGAAATAATATTGTTCACGAGTATTCAACACCGTACTGCCCAGAACAGAACGGTCGTGTGGAACGACAGAATCGAACGATCGTCGAAATGGCGAGAAGTATGTTAGCAGCAGCAAATTTGCCAAGAAGCCTGTGGGGGGAAGCAGTGCGCACGGCGGCGCACATTCGTAATCGAGTTCCACTTGTTCGATTAAACGGAAAGACCCCGCTCGAGGTATGGTCTGGAGAGAAACCTGACGTCTCGCATCTACGCCTTTTCGGAAGCCGTGCTTACGTGCACATCGACAAAGCTAAACGAA